TAGCTCGCTCTATTTAAAAAGAATAAAAATCTTGATTACTTGAGAGGTCAAATAACCTTAGGTTTGACTAAGTATTTATAAAAATATACTAATATTTGTGATATTAATTAAATATTACTAGAATAACCATGCATTGTTTTTTTATAATAATCTATTTTGAAGATCTAAATATTAATTTTTTGTTTGTTTTACTCGTACTCTCTGTCCCAAAATAAATACACATCTCCTTATCGAAGTCAAACTTTTTAAAATTTGACCAAGTATACAATACTAATACCTATGATGTATAATAAGTATCATTAAATTATTTATTATAGAATAATTTTTATAATAAATTTATTTGATGATATAAATATTGATATTTTGTTATTATACTTAGTCAAATTAAATTTAAAACAAGTTTGACTCATCGATAAATGTGATGTGTATTTATTTCGGGACTTGAAGGAGGAGCAGGGAGACTTTCATTGATTTTGGCACGAGGGAGCTACGGTCAAGTAGACTCCATCTGCGGGAGACAGCTCAGGATGGGCCCACGCCAGGCTGCCCATCTGATCTGAAGCCGGCCCACCTGTCTGTGGAACGTGCCTACAGAGGATTTGATGGTTACTGCAGGGCCGTACCGCATTCGTGTTGTGACTTGTGACAAGGACCGACCACAGTAGTGTGGCCATGAACTTGGCCGTCCACAGCTTTGGTGGGGCCATCCTGCACTTGGTGGGCCGAATCCTTCAGCTTCATGTTTGGTGTGAAAAGAAAAAACACTATTTCCAACCTGGAAATTTACGATCGTTCACTTTTTTCTTGTTACTTTGTTTTTCTTTTACTTTTTCTAGATAGAATACCGCCTCTTGTTGCTTGCACACTGTAGTAGTATAGTGCTTCCTTCATCCAGAATTAAAACGTACTATTTACAACGTAGCACAGTATCACGTGAAACTATATTGATCTTATAGTGCTTCCTTCGTGGCTAATGTTGTTTTGTTGCGAGAGAAAAACAATATACCATGGCTAATAAGTTCAAGCGAACAGGACCACTGTGATACTCCATCCATTTTAAATTATAAGTCGCTTTATAGTGCTTCCTTCATCCAGAAAAATAATACTAGTACAATGTAGCACAGTATCATGCGAAACCATATTGATTTTAATCCAATTTATATAAAAAAAGTATATCAATATTTATGATATCAAATAAGTATCATTAGACCGGTCAAGAAATGTATTTGCATAAAATCTGATATCATAAATAATAATAATAATTTTTTATATGAATTTAATTAAACTTTAGATAGTTTGACAAAGATAGAAATAAAATTGCATTTCTTTTCTCAAAGGATGAATAACGTCTTTCTGTGACAGAGACAACAGTAAAGTTGAACCGTCCACGAATTGTTCGGCTCTCACAAAGTTTATCCTCGGCGAGAAGAACAAAACTTCCTGACTCACGCTGTTGTAGGGTTGTTTTCCTATACCTAGCCGGCTAGCCTACAAAATACTGTACGTACCAGTATACAGTAGTGGCACAACCGGAACATTATTACATGCACCGACCGGCCGATTAAAACTGGTGGACCGTAATGTGTGTTTCTTCTCGTGGCGGCGATCGATTGCGAGGCCGTACGTCTTGAAGGTTTTGTTGAGGCAAAGCATGTAACCGAGTTTCTGACGACTACTTGCTTGCATTGTGTGTCATCTGAGGACGACGACAATGACTCGGTGTAGTAGAGTTGTGCAGTTTTTTTTGGCCGATCGAGTTTCCATTTCCATAACTGCGTTGGCCGAGTGTTTGTGCTTGGTGGTGGTGGTGTAGTTTGCCGACTGGCTGCAGAGTGTTGGACTGTCGGTGTTGTTGTCATTTTTCCCCCCTGTAGGTTATTAGTATCCTAGGGTCATCTACTTGTATATTTTGGATCTGTCAGCTGATTTGCTAAAAATAATAAATAATAAAAGCTGCTGGATCTCGCTTAATTCATGGACAAGCAACGAAGACGCACAGGCAGGGACCAGAGACGAGAACATGCATGATGCTCTGATCCGTCAGTTCTTGTGGTTAGTTGGAAGTGGTGGGTCGCTCGGTTGTCAGTACTGAACTGCCTTTGGAAGCAGTGCCTTCTACAACAAGGGCCACGTACGTCCAGGTCCGATCCAGCAGCAGCAGCAGGCAGCACGAGTGACGAGCCCCTCCCTCACGATTATCGTCATCTATCCGGACCACCATTTACATCCATCTGCGGAGAGACCGAGAGCGCCCCACAACGTACGTCCTCCTGCTCCTGGCGATCGATCCTCCCACGGTGATCAGATCGGCAGATCGAGCGAGTCGTTAATTTGTGTGGCTGATGGCTGGGCATGCATGCAGGGAGAAGCCCACAGAATCTGATCGCCTTCATATAACATCATTAGTTAGAGCAAAAAAACGGGAAGCGTATATGCAAAACAATCGGTCGCTATCAGGAGAACATGCATGCACACATACTATACCAGTGGTGGTATATTACAAAACAGAGCGAGATCGCGACAAGTGATCAGTAGTAAGGGTACGTACGTACTTGGCCCGTGACGGCCGAAACAACAGCTGCTGTCCGAGTCCAGGCCCACGGGCGTGACTAGGCACCAGAGGCGCACGAACCGAGGTAGATTCACCTGCCCCTCTGGCCTCTGCCGGAGCATGTGCGCCAGGTCTTCATTGCACGTCAAGTGGCCGGCGACGCCGTAGGAGCGCGTGCCCTCCGAACGTTACTCCCTGATGTCCAAACGAAACACCGTTCCTGGGCTACTTCTGCTTGGGCCTTTCCTGGGCTACTTCTGCTTGGGCCTTTCTTGGACCATGGAAATAGATATCTTGGGCTAAACGACTGGACGGGCTTTTGAGAGCAGGAAAAGCGATTGATGGGCGCCTGTTATATCTTGGGCCAGAAGGGCTACATGCTGCAAGAATCTACACTGTACAGTAGTACGGGACAGTCGGACCGTGCTCTTTGAATCACTTCTTATGAAACAAGTAAAAAATGATAAAAATCCTAGTGAGATGAGAATTAATGTTTCATTTTTCACCGGGAGCTCAGAGCTAAAAAAAACTGAGCCACACCTATCCCTATTTAATTTCAACCAGAACAACTTCCCGACTACTCTTCACCGGCCCTACTCTCATATCAGAATCGGCTTATTAGAGAAGCAAAGTAGTCAGAGCTACTAGCTAATAACTAAGGAGTGGTGTTTTCCAAACAAAAAAAAATGGTGGAGCTCTAACTAGTAACATATACTGCTTCCCTTAGTTCCATCAAAACGTAGACATTTGATGCATCTTTGCCTATAAAACCTGAAGCACCGTACCGTCGAGTTCCCGAAGACGGTAATCTACGTGCGCCATCACACCACGTATGGAGTGCTGTATGGACTATGGAGCCGAGCCTCATGTGGGTCGCTTCGCTCCCTGCGTCCTGCGTCCATCGACCATCGCGCGACAGTGGCCCGCGTGCTGCGTGTGTCCACGGGCACCTCCCCCTTCACCGACGCCACGGGTGTCGACCGCGCGGCGTTCTCACGCGCAGCGTGCCGCTGTTGCTAGACCTCTGGCCGTCGGGGCCTCAGACCCGGCGGCACCGGCACCGGCGCTGGATCACCGACAACCACTAGCGCTGGGGCCTGGGGCTGGGGCCAGCGACAGGCGGCGGTGGTGGTAGGGAGCTGTTTAAATCCAGCAAGTAAAGTGATATGATGTTATATCAGCGTGTCACGTGGAAGTATTCGAATAGTAATAATAAAATAAATTATAAAAGTCTTTAGCAACCCACGAGGCGAATTTATTAAACCTAATTAATCCGGCATTAGCATATGTTACTGTAGCACCACATTGTCAAATCGTGGGCTAATTAGGCTTAAAAAATTCGTCTCGTAAATTAGTCGCAATCTGTGCAATTAGTTATTTTTTAAGTCTATATTTAATACTTCATGTATGTATCAAACATCTGATGTGATAGGGAGTAAATTTTAGGGGAAAAACTACACGAGACCTAACTTACTAGTCGGTAACAACTAACAACAGCTGGGCCAGCGGACGCGCAGCACGCGCCCGTGGCGTGGAGTGGAGCGGAGCTGGAGCCGAGCCGCCAGTTGCCTGGGCATGCAAACCGCCGTGATCACCACGTCGCTGCGCGTGCAGTTCGCGCGGCAGGACCGCGGAAGCTGCCTGCAATCACGGATCTACAGCTCTGCAGGTTGCCCCGCCGTCCCGGCCGCTCGACTCCTCTCTGTTCCGATCCACTGACGCCAGAGAAGCCCCAGCGCCAGCACAACCTGCCCACTCTTGCGCACTCGCTGCCATGCCCCGCGGACGCGGAGTGATGGATCAACTGCATGCGACGCGAACGCGACCCTGCGCAATCACTGCCATGAATGGTCCAGGGTGAGAGATATCGCGTTGGCAGGCAGGCAGGCAGACGCACGACGTTGTCCCGTTCCGTTCCTCGCGTGCCCGGACAACGCGGCCACTCTGGCAGGTCTTTCTTCCTACCGGCTACCGCCTTAACGTAATCATCATCAAGTCACTTACGTAATCATCATCAAGTCACTTGGCTCCATCTCTGGGAGGCATGAATTAATTCAGAGTTTCTCAAGGATGTTCATGGTAGGCTCCTCCAAGGTACTACAAGAGTTCAGGCGTCCGGAGCTAGGAGCTAGTAGTACACACGGCAACATCTCACTCACATCTCAACAACAAATTCCTGATGGAGCAATAGCAAAGGTCTAGACACCATACACCACAACAACATGACGCTAGCACCAGGCACCAGCATTATTTATGTTACATGCACCACTGCTGGTCCGTACTCCGTAGCGTGATTGATCTTCACCGACACCGACCACATACGAAAGAATTCAACCACTAAACCCAAAAGCAACAATCAGATCGATTCAACACAAATCGCAAAGCTAAACGACGCGCTTAACCAGATCCTAATGACGATGGCCTATCAAGCGGGCCGGGGCGGGTGGGCTCACGGGGAGGAGCCCAGCTGCACCGCCGTGCCGCGCCGCGCGCCGCGCCTGCCGCGCACCACGTACGCCACGGCGGCCGCGATGCCGACCACGGCCACGGCAGCCACGCCGCAGGCCACGCCGGCGGCCACGGACACGGACCTGCGCGGCGTGGCTGACGACTTCGCCACCGTGCCTGCAGTCGCGGCGGAGGTGTCCGCCGTCGTGGCCGTGGTGGTGGTGGTGGTCGGGATCGCCGTGGCCTCCGGCTTGACGGCCATGGTGGCGGCGGGCATGGAGGAGCCGTCGAGGGACTCCGGGAGCGCCTCGGCCTCCGGCTTGAAGAAGTTCTGCATCTGCGGCGTCGTCTCGCCGTTCGGGAAGTCCCCCAGGCCGTGGGACTCCGACCGCACCGCGAGCAGCGCCACCACGCACAGCGCGGCGAGCAGCATCTTGCTGGACGCCATCGCTTCGAGTCTCCGACCTGTCGTTGCCACACAAAAAAAATTGTTAGAAACAGCTGGACCTAAGGTTTCTTTGGCACTGCTGCATTTCTTCCCCATTTCATCAAGATCCAGAGCTTCAAGTAGTTTCTTGCATTTGACTAAGGATTAGTAATTCAAGAAATGCAGACAGAGTAATTCAAATTGTTCACCCAATCATAAGGCAAGAATTCAGAATTGGACTCAGTTTTATGTAAACTAAATCGAGACCGAGGTCCCATATGAAAGGAGCTTTCTCTGTTCATGAAGCAGGCACAAGCAAACATGCCCAGTCCCAATTCCCAATTCCACAAAGGTAGTAGTAGAGCTCAAGCGAAAAAGTTGCTTTCTTTGATGAGTAACACTAACACATACCTTGAGAGAAAGACTAGCGTTTGTGATGGAGAAAGGACTAGTGAGGACTGAGGAGCTGCACAGCACGGGTCGCTTGAAGGTTCAGACTTCAGAGGACCCGGCCCTTTTATACACGCTCCAGTGATGATTTCTGGTAACCAAGAGTATATTTAGGGAGATGCGATGTGAGTGGGAGAGAAAATGGTGAGGATCTATCTATCTGCCTGCAGCCTGCTGCTCTGTGGGGCAGAGCTCACTGTCTGTGCGTGGTTTGGAGCCTGCAGTCTGGAGTGAGAACGAAGCTAGAATGACCACGGTTGGGACTTTCGACTTTGGAAGAGCACAACATGAAGAGAGAGAGGCACAGGCACCCATCGTCCGGGTTTGTTTAGCTTACGAACCGTATTTTTTCAACTCAACAAATAATTTTGTTTTTCTCACAATAAATCAGTCAATAGTATTTTTAACTATAATTTATCAGTCAAACAAGGTCAAACGAACATGATGTATGTTAGGTGAGCATGTGAGCCTTCACCAACCTCTGTCGGCTTGCGTCGATCTCTACTATTACCACGTACGCCGCCCGTGTCGAGATTCTGCGGCCGTACTCGCGCCTCGCTCTCGTTCGCCGCCACCACAATGCAATTCATCGCTCTTCACAAGGCGAGATGCCGAGATTCACGGACAAGCCACAGCCGCGCTCGATCTGACAGACGGAGACGGAGAGGAAGACGACGACGGCGACGCCGTGCATGGAAGCGAAGCCACGCTACCGCTAATTCTTGTCTAATGTCTAGCTGATAGAGCCTAGATTCTCGATTTATGAGACCACGAGCAGCGTTAACTCGATTGATTAGCTCATGCGTCACCTGCTTGCTCTTGGCAGGCAGTCACGCGCTCACGCTTGCATTCTTGGCGCTTGCACGTCCAATCACGGAACTCATCACTCCATGTCCATGCCGCTTTGAGACCGATACACACGGATGCACAGGGGCAGCAGTGATGCCCGGCTGTTGATTTGATAGAATTTAAAGACTAGATATAGAATTTGATAATGATGTACCTCATCTCGAGTCTCCAGTCGTGGCCATGGCACCGGCGACGAAATAGCAGCATAGCGGGCCTGGTCTGGTGACGGCGGTGAAGCTTTTCGTCGCTCACAGCGCGCCCTCTAGATCAGATTAGGGCAAGAAAACTCGGTGGGGCTGGCGGCTGCGATGAACCTCGTGTCTCGAGCCCCAGCCCACACCTCCTATTTATTGCGTTGCGCGACAGGGGCCCATCAACCAGTAGAAAGGCCGAGCGCCCCCGATTAGGGTACGGATCAAGGGCCCAATTGGTGGAGATCAACCTAACATTCTCCCCCTTGATCTCACCTTATGACTTAAACTTAATTTTCTTTTTCTTTTTTTCCTTCCAACACAGATCAGTGCATAGAGCGTGCCTCATTGTCACGATCAGTCGCCATTAGATTTAATAGCTATAATGCATCTCTCTGTTTTGAAACAGATACTCAACTAGATCATTGGTATCTAAAAATTATAGGCTTTCCCGTAAACCCATGTCGACTGTATGTTCTCTGAACGCACTGGGTGGTAAGTCTTTGATAAACGAATTCGCAAGTACTTACTCGATACTTATGTGCTCAATATTTTTAAAATAATTCTGGATTTTCTCCTTTACAACATATAACTTAGTGTCAATGTGTTTGGCAGCACACTTGACCTGTTGTCTTAGTAGTTAACTTATTTTAAATGGTTATTGCTGTTGTCTACCATTGTTAAATCCGGGTACAAATTCTCTTAACTTTCTTTTGCCTGTTCCTTAAGCCTTATGACAAGCTATACTACGGTATGCATCATTGATGATACCATAACTGTTTCTTTGGAGAATTTCACAATAATACTCCAACTGCGAGTGTTAATAACTACTATGGATTTCACTACATATCTCGTCAAGACTTAACATTTGTACCCTCAACTATTTGAGAATACTTGTTTTTTCTTACTCAGCATGAGACCTATAATACTTTATAAAATTGCAAGACATTCTCAACTCTATTCCAGTGATCTATATCTGGACTGGACTTCTGCCAAAATATCCCGGATACGTAAACTACGTCAGGGTAAGTTCTTACTCGTACTTTTACACTCATCAAGCTTTCAACAGCTAAAGCATATAGAACCATGTTTATTTGATCGATCTCATATCGGTTCCTAGAATACTTAAAGTTCCCAAATCTATTACCCTTGACTATAGGAGCAGACGCAGGTTTATTCACATGCATACTTTATTTCTTTATAGAATCTTTTCTAAGTATGTCTTTGTGATAGTTCTAATACCCTATTTTCTATTATTTCGGTGAATTTCGATTCCTAGAACCAATGATGCTTCACCAAGATCATTCACATTGAAACTTGAGGACAAAGATTTCTTCTTCTCTATTGGCAAATTAACATTACTACTAGTGAGTAAGCTGTAATCTATATACACGGATGTGGAAAAAATGAATTTTCTATTCTTAAACTTCGCATAAACGCTATTGTCCTTCTCATTTTCTAAAAAAATCTAAAATTTCTTATTGTTTCATCAACTTCAAATACTATTGTCTTGTGACTTGTTTTAACTCATAAATGGATTTCTACAGGCGGCATCTCATACGTTCTTTTTCTTCCACAACAAAACCTTTGGGTTGTGCCATATAAATGTTTTCATATAAATCCTCGTTGAGAAATGCCGTCTTTACATCCATCTGATGTAACTCTAAATCGTAATGTGTCAATAACATCATTTTGATTCTAAAGAATCCTTGCATGAGATTGGTGAGAAAACTCTCATCGTAATCTATTCATCCTCTTTGCGTAAGGCCTTTTGCTATAAGTCATGTTTTATATCTTTCTATATTCCCTTTGAGTCACATTTTGTCTTGTAGGTCCATTTATAGCCTACTATTTTGGCTCCATTAGGAAAATTTTCTAAGTCCCAAACAACGTTGGTATTCGTCGAATTCATTTTAAATTCCATAGCTTCTTGTCATTTAGATGAGTAAACGCTTCTCATGGTTTTTTCAAATGAGGTGGGATCACCCTCCATTTAATTTCTTCACTAACATAGACTTCATAGTCATCAGAAAAAACTGGTTTACTGATTCTTTTAGACCTTGTGGGGCCTCAGCTACTGGCATTTCATATGGGGCGGTTGTTGCTCTTTACTGCAAGAGGCATTTGATTCTACGGGCTCCTATATTACAAAATCCTTGTTTGCATTATTCATCTTCTTTAAAAAGCCAACAACAGGTGTTGTATAAGTTATACAACATCAATAGGTATTGAAAAATTTATTGTTTTAAATCACTGAAGGGGCACGCAGCCCTGCTTCTCTTTAAGTCATAGATCTATACATACCATGCTCTCCTAGATCATCCCATCTTTTAAAAAAGATAGTGTACCTTCAAATTTCTTGTTTGGTTTTAATCTGTTAAAATCTCATATGGCGCTTTTAAGCACCGCTTTTATATCTTTGAGGCTGACTACGCTATCTTTCTATGAAAACTTTAAAGCGAAACTTTAAAAGGTCCAGAAATTTAGCTATTTTCTCTGCTTGGGGGTATCGTTATTATGACTATTGTATTCTCCTCCGACGGTCACATTTATCTTAATTAATTTTTATTTTACTCTTAATGAAGAATATTTTTCTTAATTGGTCTTACTATTCCCCCCATCGAAATATGGCATAAACTTTACTGCCATTATTTCGAGAACTATTTAGAAAAACTATGACCGAGGAGACACTTATTACTTACTTCATTCACATGATTACGTCATGCAAACAAAGTTATTTCTTGATCCATATTGGAGTACACTTTCATCATTCTACTTCAAAAATTCATCGAGGTCTTTTATTAACTATGCTTTTGCAAGTCACGCTTTCATCTTTTTCTTATCTTTTGATTAGTATTGACCATGACGGTGCATTTCTATTGTGCCATGGTTAATACTAGGACAACATAAGAGCTACCTAAACTTTTCTTACTATGCGGGATATAAAAACATATGAGTCGTCATAAAACTTCTCCCGCCATGCAGGATTGACTAGCATAAGTACTATGCCAAACTTCTCCCGTGCGAGGGATAAATCTATATACAAACACGCATGCTTAATCAACGTTGGTCAAATTAGACATGCATGTTACTTATTGCAACTCTTATCATAAAAATATTCACTTATACTTCATTTTCCAATTAAATCTTCCCGTTGGATCCAATTTAATCAGAAAATTAATAAACTAACAAAAACAGTCTAAAACTGGCTTGACTCAAGCCTTTTCATTCACATAGCCTAGCATTGCAGTCCGTTGGTATGCAGCTGAGTGATTTTGATGGTTAAAAAACAAGGTACGTCTGCATCAATTCTACATCACCGTTGGGTATAAAATAGAATTAATACATAAAACTCATAAATCAACTTGAAATACATATAACTACACTTCAAAATTAAATTACCCCGTTGGTTCGAATTTAATTAGAAGATAATCAACATCATTGTAGCGAAAACTTAATAATAAAATACATTCTTTTAGTTCAGGAGCATTTCTTGTTTTTTATCTACTCTCTAAAAATTATCCATGTTGG